GTGGGAGAACTTGCACAATTGGTGGCTGACTAAATACTTTTTTGCCCCACTGTATATTATATCTTCTTACGCAGAATGGCAATGAATTTATTAACTGTGTGTTTGGTTTTCAGGAGTGCTACTGTATGGCCCTCCAGGTTGTGGTAAAACCTTGATTGCGAAAGCTACAGCAAAAGAAGCTGGTTGCCGCTTTATTAATCTTCAGCCCTCAACGTTGACAGACAAATGGTATGGCGAATCACAGAAGCTGGCAGCAGCTGTTTTTTCTCTCGCTATAAAACTTCAACCCTCTATCATCTTTATTGATGAAATAGGTAAAATGGTATTTTCTACATATTTTGAAAATATTACATTAACATTAAAAAACCCCTCACAGTCTTCTTCATTAGCGTAGGATCAGTAATATTTAGTATCAGCAGCAGCAAAACAATAGGTATTTTCATAGATTTTATTTTTTTAAGGGAGGCAGCTGTTCAACTCAAAACAAAGTTATTGCTATAACTTTATATGTATATTTAATGTTTAAGGAAAAATAAAGATACTTCATTTTTTCCCATTTGGATTCAAGTAATGCTAGTGCAACATCATTGTCTCATTCCTTCAGCATTAGTATTTATCAGTATGAAATTCAAAATCTTGTGTCAGATATTGTATGGATTTTTTTTTAAGGTAACACAAGCACATTTAGTTGTCAACTCAGATAATATGTAAAATTAGATGTGAAGCTTATTGCTTACAGACTGGTAATATAAGACCTAGCCAGAAAGCATATCACTGGAAAAAGCCAAATTCTGCAACAAAAAAAATACAGTTTCTTCCTCATTACAGTTAGTATAAAAAGTCCATCTCTTTGCATTTTGCTCTTCTATTTTCCCCTTAAGTGTAAATTAATAACTAATTGCTGTTTCCTAACTGGTTTCCTTGGCTGTGTGATGGGATCAGATATATCCTGGCTGCAATACATACATACATACATACCGTATGGGTATTATGTACGCTCCAGTCAGACTGACCCTAAGTGGCTTACATGTTCTTCAGTACAGTAAATGAGTTAAAATATGATTTTAAAAAAGTCAAAGAACTAAGAAGATCCCACTACCATGGCCACCAGTTTCTCAGAAGAACATTCTACCTACTTTTCCATTCTTCAGAGGCTTTCTAGAAGAGCTATGTCTTCATGGTCTTCCTGAACACTAATAGGAATGGGGCCAGCTCTGTCTCAGGCTCAGGGTGTCCCTGAGGAAGGGGACCATCACTGAGAAAGCTCACCCCCAGAATCTCTGAAGGAGAGACTCCTTAGGGGTTGGGACCTGTACCAAGCCCTGCATTTTAGTTTTCACCAGGTGAGCAAGTTCCACTTTGAACAGGCATTCCTGCAAGTACCCAGGTTCTATGAAATCACACTGGATAGTGGTTTCCAAACAAGCCAGCCATGAAGCTGTATTTTAAAGTTGACTTCAAGCAAATGTACCCATCCATGTACCCCTACCTCTTACATATTATACCAGTTTTATACAACTTTATTTAAATGTTTTATACATTTGCATACTTTTGAGAATTACAGGATTTTTATTTATTTATTTTCAATAAACAGATGGGCTTGTGTGAGATGGGCGGCTATAGAAATATGATAAGTAAATAAAATAAATATTATATTATGGGGAAAAAACTAGATGTGATGCTCCTCAGTAGATATATGGAATTTATTACTTTAAGCTGATGAGATTTTTATTTTAAGAAAGATCCAAAGCTAAAAATACTGTTTTAAATCTTAAAAGTAACAGCAACGTTCAGTGGGAATATTTTTGTGGTTTTCAATATTTGTGTTGGCCAATAATAGAATTTAGTCAGTTACTTTACTATATGTAGGGACTACCGCATGCCCAATTGTGTTTTAGACTTCCTTTCGTGTATTTTAAATAACACCTATTTGCGGGTATTGCAAAAATGTGTTTACTACAATTTCTCTAGTTGGTGGGTGCATTTTTAAATATACAAAGCAAGAGTGGGTGTTCAAGAACCCCCACCAGTTAAGGTATTACTAACTTGTGTCCCAGGTTCTTGAACAGTACTGTTGTTTAAGAACAGAAATGATTTTAGCAGGATCAGAACCAGGTCTCCCAATTCAGCACTTTTTGTAAGACTCCCAGAAATCAGTAGACAACAGATAACGAACTGAAAAAGGCACATGGGGTACCCACTGTATGTTTCTTCCCATCTTGGCTGCATCATAGTCTGATTCTGGAGCTTTCTTCAGTTTGCTAGAAGAGTCAAGAGCTGTTTCAGAAACACTGTCCAACCCTTCTGTTAAGCACATATGACATTGTCTTGAGTATCTTCTTGTGTGTCCCATAAGTTCTCAGTTGCTGAATGTACCTCAATTAATTCATCATGCAACATATATAACTGTTGAATTCATCATGCAACACATGTAGCTCCATATTCCAGAAACGCAAGTCTCTACTCAAATCTCCCCCCCCTTTTTTTTTTTTTTTTTGTTAAATTCAGATTCTTTTCTGCGAAGTCGTTCAAGTTCTGATCATGAAGCCACAGCTATGATGAAAGCCCAATTCATGAGTCTCTGGGATGGTCTAGACACTGACTATAATTGCCAAGTAAGTAGCAAATTATTATTTTTATTGAGACAATTATGCAATATTTATAGAAAATGTACTTTTCATTGCTTCAGTATTCAGTTGTAGGCATTTATGAGCAAGCAGTGAAGAGTACAAAAAAGATCAGCTTGAGAAATGGAAGCACAAGAAGATGGTTTATTTATTTATTTATTCCTTTCCTTCAGGAGCTCAAGGGAGTCTGCATAATATTCCTTCCTTAACTTCTTTTTTCCACAAGAACAACATTATGAAATTGAATTGAGAGACCATATTGTCGAAAGTCACCCATGGCTGAGGGTTAGAACCTGGTCTCCCTGGTGCCAGTCCAACGCTATAACCCTACACCACATCGTGTAGCAAGAATTTGCAACTTTTTCCAGGCTGAGAGTGCATCTGATATCATACTTCATATTTTTAGTTCCATATTCTTGCTTTTATTAGTTGTGCCCAGAAGAAAGTCTTGTCTCATTCTGGTTAAACCTACATGATTCTGTCAGTTGAGATCAATATTTCTGTAACTTCTCCAGTTAAGTGACTTGACCTGGTTATCATCAAACCACAGGATGGTGTGATTGGTTGAAAGTCGTGATGAAATGGAGAGAGATATCCAGCCAGCTTTTCAAAGAGGAGACAATTGGATTGCAAACTAGTTTTAAAACCTCTTCCCCCCAATCTATTCTAGTGATAGGAAGCCTTAAATGTCAATATCTCTGTCAAAGTGACCTCATACATCTAAGGGCCCTGTTTCTTGATTCCTATCGCTTAATGAGAAATAAAGAGCTCTAAATAAACAGTAATTTAGTTACATTCCCTTTTCATTTGGGCAGTATCTCCATCTCTAGGTGATACCCCCATATGCTTGCCTTCTCCCTCTCTCTGAAATAGCAGGTACAGCAATATTATTAACATTTCTGAACTGCTTTGAACATGATATACTTTATTCTGTTGTCTAAATATTTGTCAGATTTTTTTGTACATTCTCTGCTGCTGCTACATACTGTTCAGAATACAAAACAAGGATACCTGAAATGATGGTAAAAACTATTTGTGGCAAAATCTTAGAAAATAGAATATAAACATTCTCTTTTTCATGAATGAACTTGAGTTAACATACATTTCAGTACTTTGTGTGTGTGTGATTTTGAATTCCCTTGGTTTGAGAAATAGTATCTGGGAATAGAATAATTTACAACGAATAACAACCTTTGAATATCAATATTAAACAAACGGAGGTCTTTCTTTTGGTCTGGAACTGCTTTTGTATCTCTCAAACTATCTTTGAAATTAATAATTGATTCTAATTGTGCGCTTTGACATTGATCAAATACAGCTTCAGTCAAATTCAGGATGGATAAAAGTTCCATTTCTGTTACTATTAGATTAATTTGGAGGCAGAAATCTAGAACTATGAACAATTGATCAAATAATTTTTTAAACCAGTATTGCTTCCATTTGCAGACAGTTGCAATATTACTAATTTTGGAGTCTGATTTATTTTGGATGCAGTTGTAATCAAGTACTTTGGAATCAATATTTATAAACACAATTTTGCAATGGTTCTCAATTAAAAATGGGCTTTTCTAGATAAATTTAAACATCCAGAGTTTGATTCAGATTCAGATACATTATGTGCTCATTGTTCTAATGGGAAAAAATATTTTTTTAAAAAATAGGGCCAGTTGCTTGTGAGACATGATATGTCAACATTCATATATTTCATCAAGAGTAATTGTTCTTTGTCATACATGATATTTAGGTGATAGTGATGGGAGCTACCAATCGCCCTCAGGATCTTGACTCTGCCATTATGAGAAGAATGCCTACAAGATTTCATATCAATCAACCTGTAAGTTGTTAAAAATGTAATTGCTTACATGCCGTATATTTAATTTTAGCTGTTATAGCATGTCCGTCCAGTAGTCTTTTTTATGTAACTATTTTTATTTATGGGCCCCTATTCTGTCTAAAGAGCCCTAAAGCAGCTTACAGTACACTAATAATAATATAATATGGTCAAATAAAATAAAAAGGAGAAATAACAAGATGAACAGTAAAAGCAGAATCTTGACTGCAGAATCAGAAGGGCAAAGCAGCTGTCAAAGTGAGCAGGATGGGGTGGTTGTGTATGTGTGTGTGCATGCCTTTGAGTCTGTCTTGAATCCTGGTGTTTGCCTGGACTAGCCCTTGCAGTTTTCTTGGCAAGGTTTCAGAACTGGTTTGCCATTGCCTTCTTCCTAGGGATGAGAGAAAGGGACTGGCCCAAGGTCACCCAGCTTGCTTGGTGCCTAAGGCAGGACTAGAACTCATGGTTTCCTGGTGTCTAGCCTGGTGCCTTAACCACTACACCAAACTAGCTCTCCAAAGTAGTTTATCACGATGATGATGATGATGGCGGTGGCGGCAGGCCAAATACACAGCAAACACAACCTATTTATAATGAAATGCTGATTAATGGAGAGAACAAACAGGATTCCTTGAAGATGATTTTCCAAAATTTGGGCAATCCACTTAGAACGTTCCCCTTCTGTTTCTCTGCCATCCATATTTCCCTGAGGTGATGTTAGATAGGGTAGGCTATACTTTGATGATTTCACAGGTAAGAGGAAGTAATAATCCTGCTTCTGAGCTACATAGGGCTTTAAAACTAGGAAAACAAATTATGTTTTGCTCAGAAACCAAACATTATGCAGTGAAGATTGGACCTAATAACTAATATTTGAGGTACGAACTCCTGTCACGCCAGTGGAGTTTTGCTTGAGTTGTAAGTTTTGTATACTTTTCAAAAACCTTTAGAGGATATGACCAAGAGAAGTCAGAGGGTTGCCATACCTGTCTTCTCTAGGAAAGAATGGAAGTATGGAAAAAACTTCCATACTGGACATTTAGAAGGAAAATCTTATAAAGCTTCAATTTTAATTTAGTAGGGAACATACAACATTATTTAAGAGCAGTTATTTACCTCTTGTCTAAATCAGTTTCTTGCTCATCAAAAATTCATCTGCCTTGTCTGGAATAAGTTTCAGCTTTTTAATCAGTTTTCTGTCCTTTATAATCAGGTGCCTGTGTTAAAATTGTTTAGTGGTATCCTGTTGTTTATTTTGCCTTTTTGATTTGTATTTTCCATCCTTTTCCTTCTGGCTAAAGAAGTTCTTGGAAGATAGTGTGTGTGCTGAGAAATTAGCTGTGTTTGGTTGTGTTTTTCTGGAAACAGTTTTTGCTGCTCCCAGGCTGACTCAATTACTGGCTGACCTCCTCCAAATAACCTTAGGAAATCTTCCATGAATCCCTGTTATCAAAGGATTTATTCTCTCATGAGTGCTTCTTCCAGAAGCAAGGAGAGAATAAAGAACCTGGGTGCTGTTCATGTGGGAGAATAATGACATTTGCTTGAGAAGCATTTACATTTGGTGATTGAAGCTACCTTCCGTTGTCTTCTGTGGAAGACCCAGTGGTATGAGCAGGAATTTATAGCAGAATAGTATTTTGCTTTTAAAATGTATCATAGATATCCTAAGATTATCACTGTAAAAAGGTTGGATCAATGTACCAATATCATGGTTTTTTTTCTTTTAATTTAAAGGCACTAAAACAGAGGGAGGCAATCTTGAAACTTATTTTGAAAAATGAAAATGTAAGTTGGTCATTTTTGTGCTACAAAGTAAATTATTTTGTATTCCTACAACAGTATTTCATGGTTATACAGAAATAGTTTGAGCAAGCTCTTATATCTTACGCCTCTCTAACGACTAAGATAAAATTGTGTCCCCTAGACTTTTGTAGCTGTTCTTTCCAAACCTGGATTGTAACAAAATATTGCTAAATAGCAATATATCCTTAGAAACCTTATTGCCTCTTGGTAAAATATTAATTTATTCCAATTTATTGTACACTCACAATATTTACCATATTGCTGGACAGTATTCACAAATATCAGTAGAGACCTTTCATATTACCTGCATATCATAGCAACTTTGGTTCAGTTTCTGCCACCTGTTTACCATGAACTTATCTATGTATTTAATTACTTTATATGGTTCCATTCAGCAAAGCAACTCTGGGTGGCTAATGAATTAAACACAATAGTTAACAACATCAACAACAACAATTAAATATATATATATATATATATACATATATATATATAACAAACCATATCATAACATCTCCCAAAAGGGGTGTGTCTAACATCCCAGCTCAAATGCCCAGGGCAAAAAAATAGGTTTTTATTGCCTTATGACAGGCTAATGATATTGGGGCCAAGTGAATTTTGAGGGGAAGAGACACATTCCAAAAGGTGGGTGCTACCATAGAAAGTGTATGCTTCTCAGGTCCAGCCAGATGACAGTTGTGCAGAGAAGGGACCTGGAGTATGCCCAATCCAGAAGAACATTTGGGGCAGGATGATATAACTGGAGATAAGTAGTCCCACAAATAGCCTAGTCCTGTGCCATGTAGAGCATTGTAGGTGATAACCAGCACCTTGACTTACACCCAGAAGCCTATTGAAAGCTAGTGCAGCTCTCAAAATAGTGGTGTTTCATGGGTGTACCATAGTGTGACTATAACTATATGCACTGTTGTATTCTAGTTCAATTGCAGCTTCTGGATGGCCTTCAAGGGCAGCCCCATGTAAAGTGTATTGCAGTATCCCAACAGGGAAGTGACTAATCCATGAGTGACCATGAGCAGAGCCTCCCAGTCCAGGAACAGGTGTAATTGGCTCACTAGTTGAAGTTGTGCAAAAATCCTGCTGGCCATAGCTGCCACCAGCAACTCAAGTAGGAGCTGTGAGTCTAAGAGGACCCCCAAATTATTCACCACTTCTGAGTGGGGGAGGGCAGCTTTCCCAGAACCAATATTGAAAATTTCCACTTCCAAAATCTGAAGGGCCCAAAAGCCACAGCCATTCAGTCTCGCTGGGACTGAGTTGAAGCCTGTTCTTCCCCATCCAGACATTAGGACAGCGCCACTTAGTTCACACAGGACAGAAAACTGCAATTGAATATCAGCTTGCTGATGATATTTCACTCCATGCCAACAGATGACCTCCCCAGTGGTTTCATGTAGGTGTTAAACAAAAATGGGGAGAGCAGAGCGTAAAGTCCCAAGGTACCCTATACAGCAGGGCCTAAGGCTAGATTGCTCCCCTCCCACCAACACTGACTGGAATTGACCCTGGAAGAGCCCACTCCCATTACCCAAAGCCAGTTCGGAAGGATACTACGTTTGATGATATTGAAAGCCTGCTGAGAGGTCAAGGAGGGGTAAGATGGATGCAGTTCCCCCATTTCAGTCCCCCCCATATTATAATATTTCATATTAACAAGTGCAACAAATGCCACCTCAACACTATGTCTTAGTTTGAACCTAAACTGAAAGGGATCTAGACAATCTGGGTCCTCCTGGGTCCTCCAGAGCAGTAAGGTGATGCCTGTCTCGAGCTTCCCCCCAAAAGGGGAAGTTGGAGACAGCATGAGAATTGTCCAGCTCAGTTAGATCTAATGATGACTTCTTGGGGGCAAGACAGACCATTGCTTCCTTAAAAGCTGGTGGATCCATGCCTTTCCCTAGGATGCATTTACCACTGCAGACATCCAACCACAGGTCTACTTCCTGGAGACCTTGGCTAACCAGAATGAGCATGGATATAAAATATTGGTGGTCACCCTACCAGCTGCAAAGACCTTATTTTCTTCCTCAAGAGTAATTGGCTTAAACACATCCCAGATAACCAAGCAATACATGCCTTTTGCTTCTCTTATTGCCGCAAGGTAATCCTCGATAATCTTGTGCTTGATTGGAATCACTGTTCATCATTCACCAGTGGTATTTTAGGCATCTCCGGAGTGCCTTTTATCCTCTGGAGTTCCTCTGAAAACTGGGGGCTTGCTGGGGTCCGTGAACAAAGAGAGCCCACACAGACACAACCTAACTACTATTAGTAGTTACTTGAATAAAGAACTAGAACAATACATTTTAAATTTTAATCCAAGAAACAATCTATTTTTCATAACATTCCAAAATTTAACTTATATTAAAAACTTTTTCTGCATTTCCCAAGGCCACTACAGCAATTTCATATTTCTCACAATGAATTGCTAAAACTATCTACCAAAAATGTGATATTAACTTGGCATCCTTTCAGAATTACTGATTATAATATCTCTTGTAATCTTCATCCAAAGATGCAAAATCTTTGCATCTAGATTTAACAAAGATAGCAAGCAGTAACTTGCACAGTTTATAACGTTCTTTCCAGCTTGCAAAATCACCGTTATATAAGTTGGTTGAGAACTGTTCTGTTTCCATATCAAATTATACTTGCCACCAGTCTGTGGTAAGAAATGTCAAAATGGTGCACAGTGCATTTTAATATGCCATTATTTGGCGATCTTCAATTTGTCGATTAACAAATTGTTATATAACATATGGGAAGGGTCCTCTTTTCAAAAGACTCGTTATGTATCTGACAATATGGGGATCTCTTTATGTTCTTTAATATCATCTATTGAAGCCCACTGGGTCAGGGGCCTTCCTATATTTCATAGAGAAAATTCCGCAACATATCGCCTTGCAGCGTTAGTAGTATGGAGATATCCTTCAAATGAATATGAGAAATCTCAGTTTGGTTTATTCCATTCAAGAAACTCTACCTGCTTGAGTGATATCTCTGTGTTGTAGACATGAGTATAAATATCTAAAAAATGATAATTGCACTTTCGTCTTTATCTGTTGTCCCCATGGAATCTCTTTTTGTTGGTATTATATTGTTTTAGTAAAGAGGCTTAGAGTTCGCCTGCTTTATTCTACTGTTCTCAATATGTCTGCTTAATGCACTTTAATGAATTAAGCTTATAATTAATCAAGCACCATTTTGGCAGATCTAAAAGCTTTTTAGAATTTTAAGGGATGGCTTCTAACGTACATACTCAAAGCTCTTTTATAATAATTTCCAAATTATTACGATAAAGATTTTTCATTTTCTTCTGTGCCTGGCCAAAGCCTTAAATACAACTGAAACAATCATGCAGGTAGTCCTTGTTTAGCGACTGCCTTGGACAGCAACCGTTTGCAGTTATGACGGTGATGAAAAAGTAACTGTGATGGAATGGTGTTATGAAGGCCACGCTCAGGGAGATAAGCGTTTCCTTAGC